GGGACATAATAATCTACTACATTGTATATTGACAAAATAAAAATTAAAATAAATAAATAAATATAAATAAATAAATAAATAAAAGACACAAACAGAGTGAAACTAAAAGGATGGAAAAGATATACCATTTAACACCAGTTAAAAGAAAGAGTGGCTTTATTAATATCAGACAAGGTAGATTTCAAAGCAAAGACTATTACCAGGGATAAAAAGGTTACTTCAAATGATAAAGGGATCAGGTTAACAAGAGAAAATTACAATCCTAAATGCCATGCAACTGATAAGACAGTTTTGATATACATGAAGCTCACAAACAGAAAATCCACAATCTCAATTTTTAATATATCAACCTAATCAAAATTCTACTAGACTCTTTCTAGAATAAAGCTTATTCTAAAATTCACATGGAAATACAAAGGACCTAGAATGACCAACACAATTCTGAAAATAAAGAATGAAGGTGGAAGAATTATACTACCTGAATCCAATTAAAGCTGTGTGGTACTGGCATAAGGGAAACAAATAGATCAACTGGAAAAAACAAAAGGAGAGTATGTAGAAATAGACCTACACACATATATGGGCAGTTGATTTTCAACAAGGGTGCAAAGACAGGACAGTAGAGAAAGGATGCTCTATTTAACAAATTGTGCTGGAACAACTGAATATCCAAATGTTAAATAAATAAATAAACAACCTCTGACTCTCACCTTGCACCATACACACATATTTACTCGAAATGAATATCGTCCTAAATCTACAAGCTAAAACTATAAAAATTCTAGAAGAAAACACAGGAGAAAGTCTTTGTGACCTTAGGTTAGGCAAGCATTTCTTAAATATAATCCTGAAAGCAAGATAATAAAAGGAAAAATTGATCAATTGGACTTCCTCAGAATTAAAAATTTTTACTTTTAGAAAGGAACAGTTAAAAGAAGAAAAAGACAAGCCAAAGACTTGCAGCAAATATTTACAAACAACCTATCTAAAAGTTCAATTAAATGATTCGTATCTAGAATATATAAAGAATTACCAAAACTCAGCAGTAAGAATACAAACAGCTACAAACAAAAAATGGGCAACAGAAAGACCCTTCATCAAAGATGATGAAAAGTAATTTACAGTGACAGAAGCAGATCACTGGTCACCTGAAGAGAGGAAGAGTGAAGAGGGAGGAATTACAAAGGGGTCCAGAGAAACTTCTGGAGACAATGGATAAATTCATTACCTTGACTGTGGTAATGGTTCCGTGGGTGTGCATGCTTATCAAGTAGTATACTTTAAACATCTGCACTCTATTGTGTAAGAATAAACCTCAGTAAAACTATTTTAAAAATTTCTGCTCTCAGTCTTTTTACAGGTACAGATGTAACAATTTGTATATATGACATAAATTTCAGAAAAAAAGTCACATGACAATGAAAATATTTGCAAACGTCCATTTTCAAAGTACTTTTTCATAGCAGGAATTCCTTCGGGAAAGCAATTATCATCTCATTCAGTGTTAATGTCCCTGGAAACTTGAGGGTTCAGATTAAATGTTATTTCTTTGATTACATCTTCAAAATAATAAAATATTGACTCTCATTTATCATAAAAAATGTTTAGCAAATTTGAAATACAGGCATATCTTATTTTATTGGGCTTTGCTGCACTTTGTAGATACTGTATTTTTTACAAATTGAAGATTTGTACCAACCCCGCATCAAGTAACTCTATAGACGTCACTTTTCCAATAGCATACACTCAATTTATATCTCTATGTCACATTTTGGTAATTTTCAAAATATTTCCAACCTTTTCAAAATTATTATATCTGCTGCAGTGATCTGTGATTCAGAGATCTTTAATGTTACTAATGCAATTGTTTTGGGGCACGAAGAACCCTGCCCATATAAAACAGTGAACTTAATCAATAAATGTGTGTGTTCTGACTGCTCAACCAACCAGCTGTTCTCTCTCTCTCTCTCTCTCTCTCTCTCCTCTCGCCTCTCTATTCCCTGAGACACAACAACACATCAAAATTAGGTCAATTAATAACCCCACCATGGCCTGTTAAAAAAAAAGGAAAGAAAAAAAGGGTCACTCGTCTCTTACTTTAAGTCAAAAGCTAGAAATGATGAAACTTAGTGAGGAAGGCATATCGAAAGCCAAGGAGGGCCAAAAGGTAGGCCTCTTGCCCCAAATGTGAACTAGTCATAAATGCAAAGGAAAAGTTCCTGAAAGAAATTAAAAGTGCTACCCCAGTGAAGACAAAAATGATAAGAAAGCAAAACAGCCGTATTGCTGATAGGGAGATAGTTTGAGTGCAATGGGTAGAAGATTAAGCCAGCCACAACATTCCCTAAGCTAAAGTCTAACCCATGGTAAGGCCCTAACTCTCTTCAATTCTAGGAAAGCTGAGAGAGAAAAGGAAGCTGCAGAAGAAAAAGTCTGAAGCTAGCAGAGGTTGCTTCTTTAGGTTTAAGAAGCTCTCTCTGTAACCTAAAAGTGCAAAATAAAGCAGCAAGTGTTGATGTAGAAGCTGCAGCAAGTTATCCAGAAGATCTAGATAAGATCATTGATGAAGGTGTCCAAATTAAACAACAGACAAACTAAACAGATTTTCTTTTTTTTCCCCAACTTGGTAAGATAAACAACAGATTTTCGATGTAGATGAAAGAGCCTTCTATTGGAAGAAGATGCCATCTAGGATTTTCATAACTAGAGAGAAGTCAATTCCAGGATTCAAAGTTTCAAAGGACAAACCAACTCTCTTGTTTGGGGCTAAATGCAGTTGGTGACTTTAGGTTGAAGCCAATATTCATCTACCATTCTGAAAATCCTAGGGCAGTTAAGAATTATGCTAAATATATTCTGCCTGTGTTCTATAAATGGTACAAGAAAGTCTAGATAACTGCACATCTGTTTACAGCACATTTTACTGAATATTTTAAGCCCACTGTAGACACCTACTGATCAGAAAAATATATTCCTTCCAAAATATTACTGCTCTTTGACAAAACACCTGGTCATCCAAGAGTTCTGATGGAGATGCACAAGGAGATTAATGTTGTTGTCATGCCTGCTAACACAATATCCATTCTGCAACCCATGGATCCAGGAATAATTTTGAATTTCAAGTCTTATTAACAAATCCTTTCTGTTAAGGCTATAGCTGCCATAGATAAGCGATTCCTCTGATGGATCTGCTGGGCAGAGTAAATTGAAAACCTTCTGGAAAGGATTCACCATACTACATGTCATTAAGAACATTTGTAACTCATGGGAGGAGGTCGAAATATCAACATTAACAGGAGTTTGAAAGAAGCTGATTCCACATCCCTGGATGACTTTGAGGGGTTCAAGTTTCCAGTGGAGGAAGTAACTGCAGATGTGGTGAAAACATCAAGAGAATTCTAATTAGAAGTGGAGCCTGAAGATGTGAGTGAATTGCTGCAAAATCATGGTAAAACTTTAAGCAATGAGTAGTGCTTCTTATAGATGAGCAAAGAAAGTGTTTTCTTCAGATGGAATCTACTCCTGGTGAAGACGCTGTGAACATTGTTGAAATGACAACAAATGATTTACAATATTACAGAAACTTAGTTGATAAAGCAGCAGAGTGATCTGAGAAGATTGCCCCAATTTTGAAAGAAGTTCTACTGTGGGTAATATGCTATCAAACAGCATTGCACGCTACAGAGAAACCTTTCATGCAAGTGAACTTCATTGTTGTCTTAGTTTATGAAACTGCCACAGTTGTCCCAACTTCCAGTAATCATAATCCTGATCAGTCAGCAGCCACCAACACTAAAGCAAGACCCTCCACCAGCAAAGATATCACAAGTCACTGAAGGCTCATATGACTGTTAGCAGTTTTTAGCAATGAAGTATTTTAAATTAAGGTATGCACATTGTTTTTCCAGACACAATGCTATTGCACACTTACCAGATTATAGTGTAGTGTAAACATAACTTTTAACGCACTGGGAAACCAGAAAATCCAAGTGACTCACTTTATTGTGACATTCGCTTTAATGCGATGGTCTAGAACCAAACCTGCAATATCGCCAAGGTATGACTGTATTTGTCTTTTAATGAAAGAAGCTGTCTAAATAATCTATTAGTTCAAGAACTGTTCCAAGTTCTGTGCCACAAACAGTAAATATGTGGAATGGAAATACATGTACATTTCAAAGCCATCTTCATAGCTGAATTGTTTTGGCCAACTTATCAAATAATGCCACCACCCCCCCCCCACTTTCTGGTTGAGGCAAATCCTGGATAACGTTTACAAGCATAGGCTGGACACCCCTGTCACCTTTTCCGAGATGTAGAAGGCCCACTCTGTCAAAGAAGACTGCACGCTGGGAAAGAGATCAAACCTGATGTATGAAATTTCTGAAAGCTCCATCGCTATCACCACTCCTATTTAACATAGTATTGGAAGTACTGGCCAGATCAATCAGAGAAAGGAAGAAAGAAAGGGCAAGACAAAGAAATAAAGGGCAAGACAAAGAAATAAAGGGCATCCAGACCGGAAAAGACAAGTCAAACTGTTCCTTGTTTGCAGATGACATGATCCTATATATAGAAAAGCCTGAAGACTATATCAAAAATCTCTTCAAGCTGATTAATAAATTCAGTAATGTTGCAGGATATAAAATCAATGTCCAAAGATCAGTAGTATTTATATTCTCCAATAACAAACTAACAGAAAGAGAAATCAAGAAGTAAGCCTGTTTACAATAGTCACCAAAAAATAAAATACCTAGGAATCAATTTAACCAAGAAGGTGAAAGATGTCTACAACGAGAACTAGTAATCACTACAGAAAAAATTAAGGACACAAAAAGGCAGAAAGACATTCCATGCTCATGGATTGGAAGAAACATTATTGTGAACACGACCATACTACCCAAAGTGATTTACAAATTCAATGCAATCCCCATCCAAATACCAATATCATTCTTCACAGAAAAGGAAATTCGATCCTAACATTCATAAGGAACAACAAAAGACACCAAATAGCCAAAACAATCCTGACCAAAAAGTAAATAAATAATACAGCCAGAGGCATTATATTATCTGACATCAAATTATACTACTAAACTATAGTAACCAAAACAGCATGTTACTTGCATAAAAACAGACACATGGAACAATGGAACAGAATAGCGAACCCAGAAATCAACCCATATACTTACAGCCAAGTGATCTTTGACAAGGCACCAAGAACACATTGGAAAAAAGACTGCCCCTTTGACAAATGGTGCTGGGAAAATTGGATATCCACATGCAGAAGAATGCCAGAAATCAACCCATATACTTACAGCCAAGTGATCTTTGACAAGGCACCAAGAACACATTGGGAAAAAGACTGCCCCTTTGACAAATGGTGCTGGGAAAATTGGATATCCACATGCAGAAGAATGAAACTAGACCTGCACATCTAGCCATATATCAAAATCAACTCAAAATGGATTAAAGAATTAAATATAAGACCTGAAACTATAAAACTCCTACAGGGAAACACTTCGGAAATAAGACTGGACAAAGACTTTATGAGTAAGACTCCATAAGCACAGGCAACAAAGAAAACATAAGTGTGATTATATCAAAATAAAAAGCTTCTGCACAGCAAAGGAAACAATCAACAAAGTGAAATGACAACTTACAGAATGTGAGAAAACATGTGTAAACTATTCATATTATAAGGAATTAATATCAAGAATATAAGAGGGACTCAAACAACTACACAGTAAAAAAAACAAATAACCCATTTAAAAAATAGGTGAAGGAGCTGAATAGACATTTTTCAAAGGAAGACATACAAATGGACAATGGGCACTTGAAAAAATGCTCAATATCACTAATCATCGGGAAATGCAAATCAAAACCACACTGAGACATCATCTCACCCCAGTTAGACTGTCTATTATCAAAAAGACTGAGAATAACAGATGCTAGCAAGGATGTGGAGAGAGGGAACTCTTCTACACTGTTGGTGGGACTGTAAATTAGTACAGCTACTATGGAAAACAGTATGGAGGTTTCTCAAACTACAGATAGATCTATCTACAATCCAGTGATCCCACTTCTGGGTATCATCACGTTGAAGGGATACCCGCACTCCCTTGTTCATCGCAGCTCTGTTCACAACAGCCAAGATAGGGAACCAACCTAAATGTCCATTGACAGACGACTGGATAAGGAAAATGTGGTGCATATACATAGTAGAATACTACTTTGCCATAAAAAGAATGACATTCTGCCATTTGCAGTAATATGGATGAGCTTGGAGAAAATTATGTTAAGTGAAATAAGCCAGGCACAAAAGGAAAAATACCACATGTCCTCACTCATAAATGGGAGCTTAGAGAGAAAGAAGGAAAGAAAGAAAGACCACAGTGCTGTGTTGGACTTGCAGAGGGAGAGAAAAGAACTAAGGCTCGGGGCGGTGGTGGGGGTGAGTAGTGGAGGAGGGGAATGAAGATATGGGGAATAACTGCAAGTTGAGGGGGTAGGCCTGCTGATAGTACTGATCTGATCATCATATCTTGGGCTCAGGTGCTGACAGCTCAGTGCCCCTTGAATACATATAATCAATAAAAATAAATGAAATAAAAATAAGAAATTATAGTTTCTTTAATATCATTTACCTAAAAACATACCAAGAAATGTTTTCACATTTTCCTCCTACATCTCAATGGAATGTCATTTACTTTCCACTTTTGAGATGATACAGTAGATTCTAGCAGGAAGGTAAACAATTAACAGCATT